TTTGGTGAGCAGCATATTCAATTAAGAGCCAGGGCTGGAAAACTAGGATTAGGAACTGCGTATGTTCATGGTTTACAATTTGTCACTGGTAACTATGTTATTATTATGGATGCTGATTTCTCTCATCACCCAGAAGCAATTCCAAAATTCATTGCCAAACAGAAAGAGCAAGATTACGACATTGTAACTGGTACTAGATATGCAGGCGATGGTGGTGTTTTTGGTTGGGATTTAAAGAGAAAATTGGTTTCTAGAGGTGCCAACTTTTTGGCTGCTACAGTATTAAGACCTGGTGTATCTGACTTGACAGGATCATTTAGATTGTACAAAAAACAAGTATTAGCTAAGGTCATCGATGAGACTAAATCAAAAGGTTACGTTTTTCAAATGGAAATGATGGTTAGAGCAAAGGCCTTAGGATACAGCGTCGGTGAAGTTCCAATTAACTTTGTGGACAGATTATATGGTGAATCAAAGTTGGGTGGTGATGAAATTGTGGGCTATTTGAAGGGTGTTTGGTCATTATTTACTAGTGTTTAAACGCAGAATTTGGATATATCTTGTATCTTTTGCATGAAAACCCACTGACGCTTTTTTTTATAGCTTATACTATTAAATCAAAATGCTGTATTTAGCACTTTTAGTTCCTTCATTTTAAATCTATGAATATATATATATATATTAATAATATTCCTATTATTTTAACTGGTTTATCTTAGTGAGTAAACATGTCTCGCGAATTGATTGAAAAATTCAAAGATTGATGAAGATTAAAATATGTCTCTAAGATTAAGACATATTATCAATGGCGAAAGATACTTATTTAAAGAAGATCTTGGGTGAAGATCGTTGTAATAATATTAAAAAAGTATGTATTTAAAATTAATATATTTTAATTAAAGTTGAGACTAACATTTTAGGCTAATGTTTTAATGGTTGGAGCTGGTGGAATAGGATGTGAATTATTGAAGAACTTGGTCCTATCCCAATATGGTGAAATACACATAGTTGATCTTGATACTATTACTTTATCAAATTTAAATAGGCAATTTTTATTTCGACCAAAAGATATAGATAAGTCCAAGTCGTTAACTGTGGTGAAAGCAGTCGAGGCGTTTAATTATCATAATACCAAATTAGTCCCACATCATGGCAACATCATGGATACAAATCAGTTTCCAATAGCATGGTGGGATCAGTTTAGCTATGTTTTTAATGCATTGGACAATTTGGAAGCTAGAAGATATGTGAACAAGATGTGTCTTTTCTTGAAAAAACCATTAATGGAAAGTGGAACAACTGGATACGATGGTCAAGTTCAACCTATATTTCCTTATTATAGTGAATGCTTTGAATGTCAAGCAAAGGCTACTCCAAAGACATATCCAGTCTGTACAATTAGATCAACTCCTTCACAACCTGTTCACTGTATTACTTGGGCAAAAGAATTTTTGTTTCACCAACTTTTTGATGAATCCTCATCTACTGTAACAACAGAACAATCCAAAGAGCAACAACGTAAGAAATTAGAGGAAGAAACGAATGATAAACAGGAAATTGAAAATATGTTGAAAGAAAGTAACGAATTGAGTGAATTGCGCCAATTGATAAAAGCGCCAGAATTAGACGACCGCAAGCAATTCATTCATAGAACTATTATAAAAATATTTAAGGTTGATATTGAAAGATTGTTGCGTATTGATTCTTTGTGGAAAACAAGAGTGAAGCCCGTTCCGTTGCAGTTTGATGAATCTTATGCGCACGAGTTAAGCAGCTTATTATCTGATAAAGCAAATGAAAATATAATTAACAGAGATACCCAGGTATGGTCATTGGTAGAAAACTTATATGTTTTTTATAAATCTAGCGAAAATTTACAGAAACGATTGAATGAATCGGAAACCTTTGTTTCATTTGATAAGGACGATGAAGATACTCTTAATTTCGTGGTGGCTGCAGCGAACATTAGATGTAGTATATTTAATATTGAGGTGAAGAGTAAGTTTGATATCAAGCAAATAGCAGGGAACATTATACCAGCTATAGCAACAACAAATGCTATAATATCTGGCTTCTCAAGTTTGGGAGCATTAAGCTTTTATAAATCTCAAGTTGAAAACAATGATTTTGGTAATATACTGAGTGATTCATCTACCGTATTTGTCAGTATCAGACCTAACAAATATATCACTTCAGCATCATTAGTTGGTCCAGGAGATCAGTGCCCAAGTTGCTCACTTTCCAGAGGATTGCTTAACCTAAATGAAGACGAACTAAACACATGGACCTTAAAGGATTTGGTAGACAAGTTAATCCATTCTTACGGGTACAATGACGATGTTTCCATAATTCTAGGTCAGTCGAAGTTAATCTATGATTTTGACTTTGATGACAATTTAGATAAAAAATTGAGTGAGATAAATGGATTTAGGAATGGCGAACTACTTTTAGTTCAAGATGAAGATGATATTCTTGAAAATATGGAATTGTACATTAATACTGCTCCTGTAGATTCAAGTAATTTACCAATAATAAAGTTACGTCCGAAGAAACAAAACGTTGGTATACCAGAGGAAAATGAAGAAGATCAATACAAAGAAATAATAACCCAAGATGATGCTATAATGATCGAAGATGAAGAAGAGTTGATCATCAACGACAACGAGGACTCTGAGTCGAAAAAACGTAAGGCTGAACCCTTGGAAGCCAACGGCAAAAAGTTCAAAGTGTAATATCCATCTTTTATGTATATCGTATTTATGCTGTATATTAATTATCTGAGTATATTGAATAGTTCTTTATATAACTATTCTGCTCATTTTTTTGATTATTACCTAAGAAATACTACTACAATTATCAATTCAGTATATCATATTATGTGTATGAACAGAAAAATATGCATTTATATTCGTTACCATTTTAAATTCATTTCATCATTAATTACATGGAACCACCATTAGAATTGTTGTTTCCAACAAGACCAACCATCTCTAAGAATGCCCGCTCTTCTCCTAATCCTCGTAAGTTGACACTCTGTCTCGCCTCAGCTTGCTTTTCCTCCCACGCCCATTGTTTCCTTTGTTCTTGCAACTCTTTGGTAGAGCCTATGCCCCAAACTTCCAAGTCACTAATCATGAATCTATCTTCGAAATCTTCTAATGATATTTCATTTTGCTTCGATTTCTGGAAGTAAGAGGCAGCATTGGAATTGGGTGACGAGATATGCCTGAAAATTGCAAATTCCAAATTCGATTCAATTGTTAAGGAAACATCACCGGGTAAAAGCTTCTTTATAGTATTCTTATTTATCGGTTGATTATTCCCAAAACCTAACCCCATGCCCAAATTATTGAAATATACCAGCTTACCATCTAGTACTGGGTTATGGACACTTTTATAAAAGTCTAATCTGGGCAGGAGGTTAAAAATCATGGTATTTTCATCACCAAAATTGTGTTTATTGGAATTTTTCCAAGGCAGATTAATAATAACAGCGTATGTTATCCTATCATTATCATCTTGCCATTCTTTCTTTGGATTTTCCAGAGATCTGAAATACAGTGGGTACATTTCATTAAACTGAATATATCTGTTATTATGTTTCATAGTTTTACTTTTCACCCTTTTGCCTGAAACAATTAATAGTGTAGGTGCTTGCCATTTGAAAATCTTCAGCTCCAATGACCTAATAGAAAAACCCGATTCTGATCCAGAATACAATTTGATTAAATTTTGTGTCGTGATACTTACGTTAGACTTCATATTATTCAAACACATTGAAATTACTGAGATGGACGCATCATTAATAAGCTTTGATTCCACAAATTTAGGAGTTATCTTATGAGCCTGGGGAGCTTCATTATCAATCGCCTCTTCACGAAGCTCTGAAGCCTGATTAGAATTCTGTACAACAGCAGTATTCACCGAAGAGAGGAAACCATTTTTAAAGATTTTCGTCCACGAGTTCGTGAAAAATGCTGGTAAGCCATTGGAAATTCCTCTTTTAAAATCTTCATATGAAATCTTCGTAGTTTTAATATTTTTTAAGTTAATATCCAAACTTATATATCTCATTATGCTCAAACTGTAACTTTCAAAGTCAGACCATCTAGTAATGTTCTTTGAGACATGTTCTTGCATTCGCGTATGATTCATTTCAGGAACAGATGAAAGGATTAAAAAAAAGGTTAGCAATTGCATTAAATCGTACCCTTCAATATATATGGAATCCAAATCAATGTCATCAAACGATTGTATAACACTGAAGGTGCTCCAGCTGATTTTTCGTGATAAGATGCTTTCGTCATCGTCTGACGAAAAATCTTTAACATCTAGATTATAGGATAAATCTTCTTCGTTATTACTACTATTACTACTAGAGCTAGACTTTTCTTTGAGATAAGCTTTGTTAATGTCACTCAACGATATAAAGACCAATTTTAGATAGTCATAATCCGCATTTAATAATTTCTTATATCTCCCCGTATGAAATAAAGCAGACTTCATCAAATTTTCAATGCTTAGCTTAGGTGGTACCTCACTTTGAAGAAATGGAAAGTTTCCGATGACTTTAAAAGAATTGCTTAATATATTAAGAACGTAGCAAATGTTTTCGTCTAGACATTCAATATCTTCATCTCTTATTATTGGAAGTAAATAAGCTAAGTCATCTATTGTAATACCAGACTTTTCTTTAAGATTCTTTACACCTAGTTTTGATGTAATTGCTCTTATTTCAACAGGACGAAACTGTAAATGGTTTTGAATGTTAAAATACTCTAAGATTTTATCCTTCTTGAATTGCTTCAGAGTAACGTGTAAGTTCTTCTCGCCTTCATTAGTTTTACTCAAACCCTGACCCATCTCCAATGACTATGTTCATTTACGAAAAATTGAATGCTTTGAGGGTTTTAATCTTATCTTGATATCTTGCGATTTAGAAATGCGACTTTGATCCTCATATTACCTTGCTAATAGCCAAGATTATTATTATTATTAATTATTATTATTATTATTATTAATGAAGTTATTAAGATATATCGATATATACATAGGAGACATTTAGCTAAAAAAGTTACGTAAAATTTCTTTTGATTTTATCTCTAAATTATACATATACTTCTTATACTTAGAAGCAATGCCGTCGTCACCAGATAAGAGTTGATCTTCATCATCTTCCGTATTTCCATCATCATACTTCATGTTAAGCAGATCTTGCTTTAATAATGCCTTAGTAAATGAAAGCACGACTAAAGTAAAGTAAAATCTAATGCCGGTAATAATGATAGTGCTGCTTACCGTTAAAAACAATTCTCTTCCAGGAGAAGCAGATTGCGAAGCTAATACGTTTAAATCTTGAGTTGAAGAAGGAGAAATCACTTCATCTGCGATGATATTGTCTCTCTGACTGAGGGGATCAGCAGTGGGATTATTGTCTTCTCGGCTAAACCAGAAATATATGAAATAATAGGTATACAATAATCCAATGACTGAATCTACCACGTAAATTAAACATGCCAATGATAATTTTCTTGTGTTATTCTTTCTATTCTTTAAATGTATGAGTCCGGATATGTAGGATGGTAAGACCAATATAGCTAATATGTTATAGAGCCATTGCCAAAAATTTAAGGGGTGCCCTGTAATAATTGATAAAATACCATAGACACCTCCTGCTTTGTTTATTATTGCAACAGCTAAGATTAATTCAACTCCTATATAGAGAGGAACAAACCCAAAAAATTTCTAAACGGTACCTTGTTAGTTGTCTCCATTCATAATTTTCATTTTCAAATGTTTTTCTTACTTACTTGCGGTAAAATTTGATTAAGTTGAGAAGAAAGTGTCATCTTTACAACCTTGACAATTCCTGAATCTTCCGTATTGATTTCAAAATATTTTGTATCAGATAAACTTTTATATCTTCATAAAAAGATCGATTTTGAGTTTAGTAGATCATCTCACGCAAAAAAAAATTTACCTGATATAGAATTTAGCATAATAGATATATCAATTTCCCAGCTTATTATAGAGTTTAAAATAGCAAAATATAGAATGTCAATGAACGACATAACTGAGAAAGTTAAGGATATCGAAGTTTATTCTTCAGATACTGATTCTTCGGACAGTGAATTTGAAATATCAGAAGGTCAAAATGATAGTGGTAAATCGAAGACTATAACAGATAAAGGTGAAATTATTGCTAAATACTCGGACAAGATTAAAACTGAAGATATAAAGAAAGGTACAAAAGTAACGAAAGACAGAGCAAATAGGGCTACGGTTGAACAGGTATTGGACCCTAGAACCATGAGATTTCTTGCAAAGATTATCAATAAAGGTGTTTTATCAAGAATAAATGGATGCATCAGTACAGGTAAGGAAGCTAATGTTTACCATGGAGACCATGAAAATCCAGAAGTTTCGGATAGAGAGTATGCAGTAAAAATTTATAAGACTTCGATTTTAGTCTTCAAAGACAGAGAAAGATACGTAGATGGAGAGTTTCGATTCAGAAATACGAAGAACCAAAGTAATCCTAGAAAAATGGTCAAAGTGTGGGCAGAGAAGGAATTTCGTAATTTAAAGCGGTTGTATTTGAATGGTATTCCGTGTCCTGAACCAATAGAATTGAGGTCTCATGTTTTGGTGATGGAATACTTAACAAAGGGTAACGCTCAACCTTCTCCTAAACTCAAAGATCACCCATTTAAAGACGTTGAAGAAATTGTACACTACTATCATCAAATGTTGTATTATATGAGAAGAATGTATCAGGAATGCAGGTTAGTGCATGCAGATTTAAGTGAGTACAACTCAATTGTCCATAATGACAAATTATATATCATCGATGTTTCGCAATCAGTCGAGCCAGAACATCCTATGGCATTAGATTTCTTGAGAATGGATATCAAGAATGTTAATGATTTTTTTACTAGAAA